TGATAGGGATATGATAATTTGTTCCTAAACCTGAGAAGGCGGTATAAGTTGGATGACTATCAGTTGAAGGATTTGTATATAGTGTAATTACTCAGTTGTATATACTGTAAAAAGCTAATTGACTTCAAACTTATGCTGTTACTATGTTACTAAAAAAATGGGTCTATTTCATGACTTTAGTCTGTCTAATAGCTCTTGGACAATGAAAAATTTCTTTTTTTCTTTCTTAAATTCTTAATCATTGCGACACGACAATTAGCCAGAAATTAATTAATTTTCATTCACTAGTATTTTCAAAAAATCTTAACAGACAGTTTCACTCAAATAAGAGGTGGCTTGGCAAATGCGGTCAACAGCAAGAGACTGATGTTAATTACGGAAGGGGAAAGTAAACGGTTGTGTCGTGGATCATAAGGGAGATATATTAAAAAAAAAAAGTGTTTTTAGGTCTCATTCAGTATCAGTATATGAGTATATCATTAACGTAATTAATGAAAGCCATTTGAAACCAAAATAGGATTTGCATTAGTTAATTATAGTTAAGAATAATGGACCCCATTGGTTTGATTATTACTGGAATAATTTAAAGATTAAATCCGATAGTATCTTAAGATGTTTTTGCAGTTGGAAAAACAAGAATATAACTCATTTTGATTCACCTTTCTTTTCTTTATTAATGACAAATATCTGTTTGCCATACACGTGATCAAATAGGGAATAAGTGTTTAATCCGTAAGATTATAAGTATTGAGACACAATAACACGCCGAATAAATACTAATTCAGAAGACAAACAACAAAAATCAGCGTTAGATTTATCTAATTTTGTAAATCTAACGCTGATTTTTGTTGTTTGTCTTCTGAATTAGTATTATAAGTATCGATTAACATTTCCTATAACTACTTCTAATTGAGGCTTTCTAAGAGCAACCCACTTAATTCTGACTTTCAGCTTTTAATTTTTGACTAAAATATGAGCATAGAATCTACCTTTAAACAATGGGATTTTTTTTTAAACACTGTGGCATGAGAGTGCCTAGTAATAATAGTTTTAGCGTCACTAAGAATCATTTTCTGGATTTTCCCATATTGATTTTTTTCCAAGAGAAAATATTAAAAGCTGCAATTGACGAGTATGAAGCAATGCATAATGCATACATGTATAACGTAAGCATACCATAAAGAAAAATGAACCCCAACAGAAGCTGATCGACTAATATTGCTAGGTTAGAACTCCTATAAAGAGGGTTTATCAGAGGGAAAATGGCAATTAAATTATCTGGCAATCAATTAAAATTCCATTTAATTGATTTTAATTATTTATTTACTGTATCGATTTATTATTTATTAAACTTATTTATTTATTTACTGTTTATTACAAATTATAACGGATTAAAATATTTGAATATGAATTAGCTGAATACTTTTAAGAAAAATATTATGACTGCGAGAATAGGGAAAAAACAAATCTTTTTGAATATTTACTTTCTTATAGAATGCAGATGAATTTATTTTTACTCAACGAAAATCAAAATTTAGTAGCTAATTAATCTGTCTTGTATCGAGCACTTTAGTTCAGTGATCCGCATTAATGTGCGTTTTTTTTTTTTTTTTTAAAATTAAATGCTTCAAGAATAATTAGAAAAGGGCATAATTCTCTTCTTACCCTTAAATTCTTCAATAAAAAAACTGCATTTTCAGCTATAACCAAGTGAAATAATTTTCTAAATATAATTCAGTGTAGAAAAAAATAAGATACATAAAGGGCTGGGAAATGGAATCAGCGTTGCGATTCTCTTTAAGAAATATGGTGAAGCTTGGCAAAAAGTCTACTAAGTGAAGTAATTCCGTAGAATATTTTCTCTTTATGATTAAATTGCACTCAATTATACTTTATAAACGACATGTAAATACTATTTAATGTATATGTGTGGGTGTGGGTGTGGGTGTGGTGTGTGTGGCTCACTAGCGGCTGAGCTGTAAAATCGTTGAACTATGGCAGGTCGTTCCGGAGTTCGAATCCGGATCGACGGGGATGGCTGTATTGGCGTTTTGGAGGTTTTCTCCACGTGTAACGTGCATAAGAGTCAGTTTTGCTTAGAAAGTTCTCCACGAGGCACCCTTACCCTTAGGCAAATAACCGTCGAATGCTTTGCTATAATCAAACAAACCAGACCAAACAATAGATATATAAATAAATAGCTTAAAATACTGCTATATTTTACGAATACTTATCAAGTAGTATTTCAATATATATAATGATTAAAAGAAAGGAAAAGTCGGATCCCAACTGATTGTATATAATGTAATCCCTATGAAGGCCCTAACAATTCTTTCTCACTTAAAGTCGTATCCCAAAAAGAGAACAAATTAAACTTCAGATACTGAATCTAATACAAAAAATACAAAATATAAAAATAAATTATATATGTACGAAACCTAACTAACTATTTATATTGATATTACGTAAATATACGTATGGTAATGAACATTGTATAATAAAGATATTTTATACCTTGTTCTATATTTGATTCCATTTATATATACCTATACATAGACATATATAATTTAAGGATTCCATTTAAGGATTATAGTAGTAGTTAATACCACTACATATGAAACACAATAGTGCATCAAAAATGTATTTTTCAGTATTATTTAATTTCATTCTTAAGAATTTTCTGCAGTCTAGTTTGCGTTATTTTATTCAAAAGTCTCAAATAAAAACAACTATTGTTTATATGTCATTAGAAAATTAAACAAAAAGCAGCGACCACAATGTAATTGAGAAACAGTCCTTAGCCGTGAAAAGGTTGAAAGCCATTCGGTTATGACTATTATCTCACATAATCAGCTACTTCGCATACATGGAACATAGCATTCGAAATGAAAAACTCAATATTTACTACAAATTCATTCGTGTAACAAATATCTGTCTTTCTACACCTATGGTTTTAAAAAGAGATGTTATTTATCTTACAGTTTATAATTAAGTAATACATTTTCATCGTACAAAATTGCATTCATTCGAAGAATTCAATTTTTATTTTCCTCTGTATAAAACTGAATGTAGAGAAGTTAGATGTTTAAACGACCCCCAAGACCACGAGCAAGATTATTCAATACTTTTCAGCCCCCCCCTGTGAAAAAAGAGGTTCTAAATTTACGACCTGACGGCATATGAGGGTATTTCAAATAAGAACCCCACATAATACATCCCTCAAAAATTCCCTGTCCCACCCACCATAAATTACTTCACCCAAGTCTTACCGACTGATATTATTCAAAGCCCCCACTGCCGCTAAGAATTTTCGGACACCCTACACTTATGAGTCTGACACGAAGGGAACCCTTTGCCAACTCCCCACTAGAAAGAATGTAAGTTACTTAATACTTTTTCTGGCCTTTATATCTTCATGTACATTCACTGTTCTTATTATATTTTTTATTATTTTTATATTATTTTTTATTTGTTTTTACAAAGTTTGCATTATTTATGTTCTTTTGTAATGTTCTATGTTTATTTCAACTTTACTTTGAATTATATTTCATAATAACAATTTCCAATGTTTAATTTTTACAAATAATATAAAACTCAAATGCATAAACATGAGGGTGTCGGGGACAGTTACTCGAGTTTTCGGATTTCTCTACAGAAATTGTTTTTTTCTCCAAATTGAATTGGCTAAAATGCTTCATAAGAATAGTTCTTTGGGTATCAGCATTGGTTCATGGTCCCTTCTATTCGCGGAAATATTTGGCTTGACTAGAATTACCGGTTTGGCTTTACCTTATAACTCGAGTAAAGACGAAACACCTTCGTATTTACGTATTTTTATTGATTATTGTTCATTGAACGGGAGTTGGTTTGTTCTCCTTGAAAAGTCAACTAATTTCCGATAAATGACAATGATTACATGTTTTTAATTTAATTTTTCCTTTCACTATTGAAATTTTGCTCTTCATGATGATTTAATTCCAGTCCCCGTTAAAACATTATTAACGTTTTTCTTTCAAGTTACTTCAAAACATCTTTCAAAAATATAACTTACCGGTATGGATTCACTCTTTTAAAATAATTCTACTTTAATTAAGCTTAGGAGATAATATAATCAATTAATCAATATTGTTTAGAAAATAAATTATAAATATATATATATTTATATAGCAAATTAATATAACTAATTTACTAATTAGTGTCCCATGAAACAATATATATATATTCTTTCCCGATACAAATAGTTTATAAATCTCTAACAACAGATAGTTAAATAAATCCTCAGGTTAAATCCTGACGAATGTATTCGATTTTACCGAGATTTCTTCCAGTGTAACGTGGATACGAATCAGTTTCAGTTAAAACGTCTTTCACGAAGCTAAATTTCTAGTCCAGATTCAAAGGATTCTGATTCCTGATTCCTGTTCCTAACTTATCTTGAATCCTAATAGAGGTCCAGTGGGAAGATTTCTTAAGGATTTAAAAAAATACATGCCATCATTCTCCATTGAGCTGCGACTAATGAAAGAGGGAGTGCTCGACATTTCATTTCAAAGATGACAATACAGAAAAATTACCAAATAGTTTCTGTTTCAAATAATCCAAACGCCAATTACTCTTTTTTTTTTTTTTTTTTTTTTTTCTGGATTTTTCACAAATGGAAATTTTGCCCCCAAAATAGAGTAAGACGCTATTTCAGACGGTACCTCATTTAAATTAACTTTCTTTAAATAACAATATTTAATTAAATTGTTTTAATAATTAACCAAAAAGTTACTGCAAAAGCAAAAATTAAATAAAATACGTATTCACAAGTAGTCCAAATCAGTATTTTTCTATAGTTCATCGATACGTTAATTCGAATAGCAGGATAAAATTACACTTGTGTCTAAATGCCTATCTCCAGATTCTGATTAACTCACATGTATGAAATTCTCAATTTATATTAATAAAGTAGTTGCAATAATTGAATCAAATATTTTTTAAATTTGTATCTGAATTACCTGCTGCACGTGGACTGTCAGAATGAGTTTCAATACCATTTGCCCCTAAAATAAAAAAAGAAATTTAGTTTTAGAAGAATTAATTTTCTTCTTTACCAAAGCTAATACTGCACTATGTTAGCAATTGCACTACGGCACCAGAGGTGTTGCTTTATATTTCAATCTATAAATGCAGAATAAATGATTTTAAAAATATATTGTTCACCTTTTAAATATATTAACTATATTTTTAAGGAGAAAGTTTCCCAAGTAGCACGGCAATGTCATAACGACGTAGCAAACTGCTCCGAGAGGTTGCAAAGTGGTCATGGTAACTTTTACGACGTCTTTACAACGTTGCGAAGACGCAAAATATTTGCTGTTGCTTCTTGGCAATTTGCCAACGTCGCTGAAACATCATGATATGACCGCTTTTAGACGTCGTCTTTTTAGCATCTTTTTCATAGTTCATCAGCGTTACTTTTAGAATGAAAAGAGACTAAATCTGCCCTTTCAAGAATCTGAAGTCCGCATAAGATTTATTTTGCAATGTTTCATTACTTTTCATCTAGATATACTTATCTGAGGTAGATTCATCTAATGAAATATAAATTTAATATAAATACTAGAATTAATAAATTGAATTAGTACTAAAAATACGTGCTAAATGATTGTTAAAATTTTGTTAAAATAATGAATACTTAAAATATTTTTTATAAATATTATATAGCAAAATATTTAAAAATGTAACAAATCTATAAAGTAAGTTATCATGTTATGCATTTTATATATTTTAAAAAATCATATTTTCGAAATCAATGCAAATCACATGTTAGCAATTATTTTACTTCTGAAATATGACTTTATTTATTATTTTTGAAGTAAGGGCGAATTTATTTGAATTAATATTCTGAAACATTTTTACCGCATACAGTGCAAAAATACAATTTTCGCGACGATATGATTGTGCGTAAAGATGTATTCACGATTATAAATGGGGCGGTTTTAAGAATTCCGAGAAAACATCCAATGGTTAAAGACGTTGCATATCCATGCATACTTAACGGCTGTCCAAAATATCTGACGGAAAATTAATGGTAAAAGAGAAAGAAATATTAACACTTTTAATGGAAAAGGACAAAATTAATGGATCTGATAATTACTAAAAAACGTGGGCAGCAAAATTAGAGAAAATGTGAATAAAAATACGAAATTCGTTTCGTTACATATAAGAGTTCTGATGAAATCTTTGTTACGTTTTTGACCATCTCCATGCATTTAAAAATGCTTGGGTTAATCTTAGTATACGGTACACTCAGAATTTGGCGATACTGACTTTACAAATGTTTTTGCGAACCCGATAAATATTTTTTGTAAATATAACCCTGTGAACATTGTTCGCAATTCTATTCAGTTGAAATAATTCTTCTAAGCCATTTAAAAAATGTTTTATTAAATTATCAGAAGAACAGTTGAAAGGTTTAATGCAATCATTAAATCGCTGAAAAGTTAACTGAAACGCTGTTCAACCGATTGACATTCCATGCGTATAATTTACTGATTGATTATATAAACGAACATCTGAGGTCGAGGCTTGCACACTTAAGCTAGCTGCCAAATTCGAACAAGTCAGTTAACGGCGCAATAATTTGAAACTTCATCTTATTTTCAGGAATGATTTCTTCACGGTTTTGCAATTCACAGTCGGAATAAAATACTGGAGAGCTTCAATACACAAAGAGAACGATGCACAAGAATATAGTGATGGCAGTTTATTTTGAATTGAGGAGAAATCGCCGTGGTAATGCCGAATTTCTGTTTATTTTGTTTGTGAATATCTGCTCTACAAAACCACACCAAAATTTGGAATTTTGGATGCATCGTTTAAAGAAAATATCGGATGCAGCTTGCTAAAATCGAAAGAGTGTACTGTTTTGGTGTTTTATGTGTTACGAGTGATTAAAATTATATGGTGGTTTTTTCCAATCTTCAGTGACCCCAGCGGTGCAATATTTGGATACACGGATTAGCGATTCGGTTATAACGTCGTAAGTGCTATATCGTATATCATTCATATTAATCGATTATTGTGTTGGAGCTCAGAATTTATTCATATAAAACATTAAACAACATACAACGTTAAGGTAAAAATTGGTACAATTGTAGGTAAAGCATCAATTGAATTTCAATTGGGTTAAAGCTCATATTGGTTGTTTGGGCAATGAGAGGGCGGATGTCTTAGCAAAGGAGGCAACAATGAATAATGATATTGAAACTGTCGATGTACAAGCCTCCAAGAGAAGATGCATTAACATTATGAAGTGTGACATTGTAAATAAATGACGACTCAATGGGAAAATAATAGGAATAGCACATAAGATTATGAAGATTATTAATAACAATAAAGAAGCCATTGGCATTGTGTGTTTCGTGTGTTTGTATGATTGTGTGGATGTTTGTGTGATCTGTAAATATTAATTTTTCTTTATTTTTCATTTAATTATTAACACACCATTTTCATTAGTTGCGATTATTTTATGTTTTTCGTTTTTCCTTGTTTGTCGTTTTTGTACTAGCGTAGCCTGTATAAGGTCATAGGGCAAACTTTGTTTTGCAAGGTGGACCGGGTTGCGCCCTAAGCTCACAAAGTTAAGGCATTTTCTGATTTTGCTGAAAATGCAATCCATGCAGAAACAACAACAATTCAAGCTGTTATGGTATGTTCATGAGTTTCAAAATAGAAAGAAATTATTGGACTGGTACTTAATATGACTGCTGAAGATGAATTAGATATATGTAATGACATATTAGAAAAATACAAGGAATACATTAAAATTAATAATAATTCACATTATATATTATGTCGTCTTTTGTATAGTATGCAGAAATGGTTAATGATTTTATAGTGTATGAAATGTATGATCGAAAAACTAGTGATAAGGAAACATTAGCATTACTATGAAATTGTGGAATTTATAATTATGTGATATTTAATTGTGTAATATTAAAAAAACACTAAATATTTTTATTGATTGCAAATTGCAGTTTTATTACTTTTCGTTTGGTATCTGTTCTTCCAAACACTGTGTAATTCGCGTTTTTTTAAATATTGCCGCTATGTATGTTTATTAGATTATCTCCATAAATGAATGTTGGAAATTAGGTTTTACTTTTTTATTAAATTTACGTATATTCTATTTTCTTCGCTTATTTTTTGTGCTTGAGATAACAAAGAAATTCATAATAACTAGAAACAAAACATTTCATCGTCAGCTATTTAATGAAGAGCTTAACTTTAACGTACTTAGCTTACTATCGTATACTATATTTTAATTATTTCTGTACAGTAACAAAAGGAAACGTTATTGATTATATAAAGTGCATGAAATAATCATTGTAATCTACCACTATTCTAAAATGTAGAAACTAAAAGGTAAGTAAATACATTAACATATGATCGAAAGAAATGGTGTTCAAACCATCAGCATTATTAGTAAATACTGCAATTTATAATTATTGAACTTTCAGTTGCTTACTATTTAAAAAACACGAATAATTTTTTATTAATTGGAAATTTTAGTTCTGTTACCTTCCTTCTGCTATTTATTCTTTCAAACTCTACTAGTTCATAATTTTTCTTAAATAGTGCTGTTTAAATATTAATAAGTGTATTAATTATTAAGCATTGGTTTGTGGAGTATACAATTTAAGTTTGTGAACTCATTTGCTGGTTCAGTTTTCAGATTCTGATTCGCTTTGGCGTACCACAATCTTACCGGGGGGTGTCATGTATCTGGCTGCGGTAAGCCAATCAGCTGCCTGCCAGAGTCCAGCAAGTGCATGGTAGCCTCAGACGACAGTTGCATGTTAGCCTCAGAGGAGGATGGTGGTAGATTTCGCTATGCTGTAGGAGCGACGTACTGCTCCGAGTTTAATATTATTCTTTGATTAATTATTTAATTTAATAAATATTTAATTTTAATAAATATTTGTTAAAGTACGTAGCTCCTACAGCATAGCGAAATCTACCACCTTCCTCCTCTAAGGCTAACATGCAACTGTCGTCTCTCTCCCTCTCTGGACTCTGGGAGGCAGCTGATTAGCTTATCGCAGCCGGATACATGACAGTGTCATTGGTAAAAAGATATGTTACTGAAGAAAAAATTTAAATGTTGGTTGTTTGCAAATGTGGAAACAGACAAAAAATGGACGGAGTTATTCCTCCATTTTAAGCAGAATAATCGTTATCAATGAATATATGATATATTAAAAAATGAAAATATTTTGAAAATTGTAGAACACGCGATCTCTTTTCCAGGAACAAATGCAGCAACAGGACGTGTTTTTTCTACTATCAATAAAAAAATGGACAATTGAAAAAACGCAGTTGAACATTAAAACTTTAAAACCTGTATTAAGGGTAACATATAATTTAATCAATTCATGTGAGAAATTTCACGACATTTTAATAAATGATCCGAATCTATTGCAAAGTATTCACTCGGATAAAAAATATGACCGTGAAAGAAAATCATATTTTTTTAATAAAATTTTAAATTAATTAAAAAGCATAATATTCAAATTATAGTTTTTTACAAATATTTTTATAGTTACCAATAGTTAATAATAAATATATTTTTGTATATTTATAGACAAGTATATGAATGTATACAATAAAATATATTCTTTTTTGAATTATTGGTCTGCTTTCATAACTAAATTACAATTTTCATTTCATTCCATTTGTCCCTCTTTGTCTCATGAAAGTGTGGGCACTTTAGGTTATAGTGAATTAAATTTAGAAGTTTGATTTCATATTTTTTATCTTACATTTATTGTTGCGGATTTGGTATTTAAGTAGTTAATGTTAGTAGAATGATAAGTAAAATTGTTTTATTCCTCGTGCAGTGCAGCGCGTGACGAATATTAAAAAAAAGCTAAGAAGGAAAGTTAACAATACAAGAGCACGTGCATTTAACTTTTAATAAATAAGTATCTCTTTTTGATTTCGAGAAATTGCTGGAACTGTCTCGAGCATTTTTAAAAAGCTTATTAAAAGCAGGAAAACCTCTCAATTTAGTTAGTTGTTGTTTTAAGAGTTTGTTGAGAAAACTGCTCTTGTTGACTGTAGCGAATTCACGGATTAGCTTTCTCTAGCTGTTTTGAATTACGTTCTGTTGAACGTTTGAGTAGATAATTACTGTGAGATATTGCACTATTGTACGAATATCTGAGGAAATTTAAGCATTTTGTTTATTTGTGATAATAATAAATCTTATTCATTTTTCATCGGACTTGTGCATTCTATTTATAACGAACCCGTACGCACGCAACAGTATATTAACTTTACTAATTTGTTTCATATGAAACAATATATTCCATCACCATACAAATGGTTTATTTGATATTTTTATGCTTAGACATAATATTATCGGCGTTTTCCTTAAATTGCTCTAAATCCTTCAAATCATTTCCAATATTTCAAGGAAAAACGTCCGCTTGCAAGCAAAACTACTGTGGTGTGGTGTTAATATTTCAACGGTGTAGTGTTGAACTTCAATGAAAACTCTAATGATGGAACACCGCATGAAAATTTTATTGAGCCCCCCAAAAAATGGCTACATACAATCAACAAAAGAAAAACCTATATTTTTTCAAATAAATTCCAAGATCTCTACATTTTACGCGCGATAGCAGTACGTGGCTCTCGAGCCTGCTTTAGAAACAATGCCAACAAATTAATATTATTTTTAAAACAATTAATTCAACTTAACAACTATTGAGAATGTATTCGGAAGTAAAATAATAATATTCATTTTATGTTCTTGAGACATCCTTGTCCATTCCGTTTCTTCTTCCTTAATGCGACCTTATCAAACTACGCATGTCTGTGAATTTCAAGCTTCAATTAAAATTTTTAATATTATAATTCCGTGTACCCACCAGTGGCCAAGACATAAAATAGCTAACAACAGATAGTTAAATCCTCAGGTTAAATCCTAGCAAATGGGCTGACTGTATTCGCTTTTACCAAGTTCCTTCAAATGTAACGTGCATACGAACCAGTTTCAGTTAAAAGCCCTTCATGAAACTAACTTTATAGCTCAGATTCAAAGGTTCCTAGTCCTAACGTTTCCTGAATCCTAATAAAAGAGTTTACGAATGGCAGTAGACGCTTTTCTGGCAAACTGCAGTATCCAGTGGGAGAAGTTCTTAAAGATTTAAGAAAAACATATGCCATCAGATGAGCAACATCACTTTATTCAGGTTAAATTCAGGTTCGGCTGTGGATTATGCGGTTCATTCTTCTTTTTTGATAATTTTTCTATTAGCTCCACGTACACTTAAAGAGCGTCACGTAGATTTCTTCCCTGTGATGAAGGAATCCAGGCAAATATCGTGAGACGGTGGTTCAAGAGTGATACAGATGCCACCTCAGTTCGCAAATTGCCCCTTTGCTGAAGTTTGTTTATCAAGGAAAATTAGTTAAGATGGACACAGTGTTGCCGCTTCTAAGATCTCTGCCTGGACACAGCAATACTGTTTACTTCTAAGATCTCTGCAAAATCATACACATGTGTGCCTGAACTGTTGCAGTCCGTAGCGCAGCACATTTTCTTCGTGGCTTCAACTGATAAAATCAGTCTTGCTATCGAGAAGCGCGTGAATAAGTAATTTATGGACTACGTTTCTCACAGTACTCTTACCAGGTGCTAATCTAGGCAACTCTCTTCCGGAACACACTGAGCCGGAATTTGAAACTTAAATATTAATAAATAATAAACCGGAATTTGAAAATAGCAAAATGTACCAGTGAGCCGCAACAAAGAACTTATTAAAAGACACATTAGAGCTCATATTCAAAGCACGCAGTTGGTCATAATACTTGGTTGCTTTTACTGCTTTGACAACTCTATGTAGATTTCGAGAATATTCTAGTTGAAAAAATGTTTCACCAGGATATAGGAGGGACAGAATCTTCCTAGCTAACTAACATTTTTCTATCATTTAGTTATGACTTAATTCTAATAATAAAATTACTTACACTTTTGCCTAGGTGCTCCATAAAGCGAATGCAAATTACTTCGTCCAGGATTAAAATAAGGATCAAATGCAAAGCTGCCTTCACCTAAAATTAATGAATATATCTTAGTTTGTTTTTGAACGTTTATTTGATACACACTAGATATAGAAACTCAAGCACGCAATACTAACATAATAGTATATTTTTCAATATTCATATATTTTATTTTAATTTAATAATGTAACGTAGAGTAAAATTATTTTATTCATCGTCAAGGATGTTAGATTTAAATTAGAAGATACTAAATTCGGAAGATTCAGGAGGAAATCAGACTGAGCACAAAACACATTAAGATAAATAGGAACTATACAGATAATCGTTGTTTTATAGTTTAGTTTCTAAAAGGTCTTACTGTGTTTTTCTAGACTTCTTTATACAAAACGGATATACGTATTTGAAACAGATCGTTTACAAGTAACAACTGAAAAGAATCAATTTACCTAATTTTGGTCCATATATAGAATCCACTCCAAATCCACCTACACCTAGTGGGAAAGAAGTTGTTGACAGTTAAATTACACCATTTAATGTTTCTGCATTTACGTCTTTTAGAAATATAGTGCAAATCATTAATCATTAAAATTCCAAATTTTACTTTTTTACCTTTCTGTAATTAAATTATAAAAATTATGCAACAGGCTGTTCGCACATATTTAGACGATTTTCATTGTAATCACGGAAATATTTTCCCAACATTTGTGTGTTTCAAATGTTCTGTTAACGATAGATTTTAACATATGGCTACTTGCTCAGTCTTGAAGTAGTTCTACTAATTGATGACACTGTTGGCAAAGAGAAGGTGTTTTCTAGCTGAAAATTGGCTATAAAATATATTTCTAATAATATGCGGAGTTTTTTTTAGCATTTTTCTCCACTCTCTTTATTTTCAATTAGCCGTTATATGAAAAACCAACAACAATCGAAAATCCCTTTGAAACGGTTTCTTTAAAATCTTTGAACTATGTTGTATGATTTTTTTCCTCCTCTTTGATAATAAATGGATCTCTTTTTAATTCCGTAATTTAAATACATTCAAGATTCATCTATTGTGATAAAAGTTTTCCATTTTTGTCAAGATAAATGTTTCTCAAAATGAAATCTGCAGCGCGTTCTGCGTTTGACGATATGTCGTGGAGACAGACAATTTCTGCACGACATATTCTCTTTTTTTTAGATAGTTTAGATTTTACTCACTTTTTAGATACAAATCAGCATTTATCACTTTTTTACAAATGTTACTTAGCATTTTAATCATTTTATAACTGTTTTTGATTTCCTGGATTTTATTTTAACATTTACCTTCTCAGCATTCGAAACATTGCCAGATTTTCCTACTTCCAGCCAAACTTTGTTTCTTTCCTTTCTTGTTGAAACTTTACCTACCATAGCTTTAGATATCAAATCCCCATGGCTTACACAACGTTTTTAATAACTAGAAACGAATAATTTTCTTTGGAAAGAGCATGAACATAGCCTTCCATCCGTTTCTTCTTTAAAGCTCCATATTGCATCCATTTTTAAAATTGCCATTTTGCGTGAAAACAAAACTGTCGAGTAGCAGACGATAATGTATGTTTTTGAGAATATAATCGTAACTGCAGTTAAAAATACTCAAACTTATAACTTTTGTATAGCAAAGAAAATCGTCTAAAAATGTGGGAGTAGCCTGCGTAATACATGTAATGCATGCTGTGAAAATCAAATTTGCTGTGAATGCATGAAGCTACAAAGTACGAGCGATGAAAACATTTGCACAAATAAATAACAGAAAACAACTAAGTATCTATAAAGTACTTCCACATATTCCATAATGCATTTTTTTCATATCAAAATATCTTAAATTGGAAATTCTGAAGAAAACGTTTTCAAAAAGCACACTTTTAAACGAAATTCATTTTATTAGCATTACGCACTTTATGAATCTTTCAAAACACTGTTTCAAAATAAAACTGCAATATTAATTGCTAAGTTGTGATGTTAAAAGTGATTTTAGCGTATATATATACTTCTAAAGAATTTTGTTATTTTTATGCATTCTAGGGAATAGCAAATTGCATTCTTCATCATGTGCTCGGACTCATTGGAAGAAACGATTTGAAACCGGTCGTTGCGAATGTTTCGAAGACTAGGCATTATAAAATAACCTAAACAAACACAGAAAGTTATTTAAATGTTAAATTGTTAAAATAGCTGAACTACAACGCGAGATTTGGGCAGAAAGGTTCTTGATGGACCTGGCGACAATAGCAATTTCTCATTAATGACGAATATCTGGAAAATCTGGAAAAACGCATTTTCGAAGCTCTAGACGAGATTTGTTCCGAACCTTCCAGAAGCCCGTCTGGTACTATATAGATACACCTCTCACGGTCTCGTCCTAATCGTTCTCTTGGCCCAAAGTGTCTAACTTGTGGTCGTTTTGGACATAAATCTATGGATTGCCGCCCCACTACATCAAATGAGACTTCCACTCCACCTGCCGAAGTAAATACAGTACAAGCCTCTCACGGTAATATGTGTAAAACTGTCGTTATACTCAATAGCACAGTTTCTGAATTAATTGACACTGAAAGTGAGGTCACATTACTGAACGAAAACGCATGGATTCAACTTGGTTCCCCACCACTTTCAATATATTCTGGAGTGTTAACTGGTTTCGGATTCTCGAAAATTCCTATTATTGGCTATTTTCAAACAATTATCAACATTGATAACCAGGACTTTTCGGCTAATATTAGAGTTGTTCCAAATCATTCTATGCAATTTTCTCGTACTGTAGGATGTGACGTAATTAAAAATGCTAAATTAACTATTACACCAGATACCACCAGACGGTATATATTTTTCAAAACCTCCCGAGCAATGCTTTGAAACTGCTCCTGAATCTTTCATTTTTGCAATAAATGACGATGTTCCAGCTTTTGATATTGGTTCAAATGTTTCCAAAGAAACTCGTGCTGCGGCAGAACGTTTGCTGAATTCTTATGTCCCAAATAAAACAAAGACGACAGATATTAAACTTAATATCACTCTATCCGATGATAAACCGATTTTTCACCCTCCTAGACGCCTTCCTTTTGTTGAACGGGAAATTGTTGACAAACAAATAAATGAATGGTTGAAACTTAAAATTATTGAACCTTGTTCATCTCCATATGCCAGTCAAGTTCTCGTGGTGCGTAAAAAAAAGACGGTACACCCCGTGTTTGCATCGATTATAGGAAACTTAATCGACTTTTAATTAAGGATCATTTTCCTCTTCCTCTTATTGATGACATTTTGGATAAACTGCAAGATGCCCAAATTTTTAGTACTCTTGACCTACGTAACGACTTTTTTTCATGTGCCAGTAGCGGACGAAAGTAAACCATATACAGCTTTTGTAACTCACAACGGACAATTCCAGTTTCTTCGAATGCCATTTGGTCTTTCAAATTGCCCTTCAGTATTCCAGCGCTTTATAAATTATGTTTTTCGTGATTTAATTGTCAAAGGTTATGTTTTACCCTACATGGACGATGTAGTTATTCCCGCCAAAAATGAAAATGAGGCCATTCATCGTCTCAACCAAGTACTCAAAGTTGCTAGTGAATATGGTCTAGAAGTTAATTTTCGTAAATGTCAATTTCTTCACAAAAAAAATCGAATTTCTTGGACATATCGTTGAAGGTGGTAAACTTTTCCTTCCCCTTCGAAAACAAAATCTGTAATTAACTACCCCGAACCTAAGAGTACGAAAGACGTCCAACGCTTTCTCGGTCTCACGGGATATTTTAGGAAATTCATCCCCTCATATTCTAGCATTGCAAAACCCCTTAGTGATCTCCTTCGTAAGGACACCCCCTTTCAATTTCATGCTGATCAGAAAGCCGCATTTCACACAGATTAAAATATTTGCTTTCTCAACAACCAGTTTTAAGTATTTTTAATCAAAAGAGTCCTATCGAAATTCATACCGACGCATCCATTGATGGCTTGGGGGCAGTCCTACTACAAAAATCTATGAACGATAACAGCTTTCACCCTGTCTACTACATGTCAAAGAAAACATCGGACAACGAGCGTAAATACACCAGTTATGAACTCGAAGTCCTTGCAATTGTTGAAGCTTTAAAAAAGTTCCGTATTTACGTCCTTGGTTCACATTTTAAAATTATCACTGACTGCAACGCTTTTGTGCAAACTTTAAATAAAAAGGAACTCAATTCGAGAATAGCCCGATGGGTTTTATATCTCCAAGATTTTGACTACGAAATTGAGCACCGTACCGGCTCAAAGATGGCTCACGTGGATGCCCTTAGTCGCAGTCCATGTTGCATGACTATCCAAGACAGTGTCCTTCTCCAATTTCGCAAAGCACAAGAAACCGACGAGCATATTACGGCTATTAAAGCACTCCTTCAAACGACGCCCTTCGTATGATAACTTTCTCGTTAAGAACAATCTCCTGTACAAAAACGTCAACGGCATTGACTTACTTGTGGTGCCTGAGGATATGCAGGCAAATGTCATTAAAACAGCTCACGAACGAGGCCACTTCGCCGTAATCCGCAGTCAAGAACTTTTAAACAACGAATATTTTATCCCAAATCTGAAAGAAAAAATTGAGCGGTGTATCCATAACTGCATCCCATGCATCCTCAATAATCGAAAGCGTGGCAAACAAGACGGACGGACTTCTGCACCCCATTGACAAAGACGACGCACCCTTGCACACGTACCATATCGACCACTTAGGTCCCCTTGCCACCACATCAAAGAAATACAAACATATTTTGGCAGTTATAGACTCGTTTACTAAATTCGTGTGGCTTTATCCGACAAAGTCTACAGACGCAGATGAAGTTATCAGTCGGCTGGAATCTCAAAGATCAGTCTTCGGAAATCCTTCACGGATTATCTCTGATCGAGGCCCTGCATTCAAATCCACTGCATTTGCAAACTATTGTGACACACAGAGAATAAAGCACGTTCTTATTACAGCTGGCCTCCCACGATCGAACGGTCAAGTTGAGCGTTTGAACTCCATTATTATTGCTGTCCTTTCTAAACTCTCCATAACCAACCCTGAGCAATGGTACCGCCATGTTCCCGCCGTGCAACAAATTATTAATTCAACTTTTCAACGTAGCATCAATTCCACTCCCTTTGAACTTCTCTTTGGGACTAAAATGAAATCGCAAAACGACATAAACATCGCTGCTCTAATCGACGAGGAGATCAAATCTGCATTCATTCAGCAACGTGACGATCTCCGTAAGGACGCAAAACAGCAAATCTCTAAAGTGCAAGACGAAAATCGCCGTACTTATAATTTGCGACGAAAACAGGCACAAAAATTTCAACTTCATGACCTCGTGGCTATCAAACGAACTCAGTTTGGCCCTGGTCTAAAACTCAAACAGAAATTTCTCGGACCTTATAAAGTCACCAGGCTCAAACAAAATGACACATATGATGTGGAAAAGTGTGCATTTTTCGACGG